TCCGGTGTTCTGCGGCTGGAGAGTCCTCCGGGAGGGCCGCCTCGCCCGCCTCTGGGTTGCAGCGGGGCTGTTTTCGGCGCTTCCCGAAGGGGACGGGGGCGAGTGGATAGGAACTGGAAAACGTGCAGGAGGGAAAGAAAGAAGGGCAAGCCCTTCCCTGCAAGCTAATAAGCGGAGGGTTTGCGGAGTCGCTGCCAAGGTTTGCGCGGTCCGAAGTGAGAGAGAGGCTAGGAACCGGCTTACCTGGGGCTGAAGGCGTTTTGTCGGATGATTTTCTTTGGGGGGGAGGGGGGCACCTCGAAGAGGTTTTTTTTATAGCTCTCTCACTGATCTATGGAAAGGATTCGCACAACCGGCAGGGATTAGGTAGGTGGGTTTAGGTTTCCATAACGTTGATAAAATAGCCTCCTCTTTGCTCTATTTAAAACGGGGTGATGCAGTCAGCTTGTCGGGGAGGGAGGAGGAGCACACCAATCTCGGGGAAACGACGACAAATGGTATATTAATGAAATATGATAAGCAGTGAAACTACATGAAAACAAAACTGCATGGAAAGTGTTGAACCAATGGGATATGAAAAGTGAGAAAACTATCAACAATGGGACAATTTCCGTGGGATAAAGGTAAACAGAAAACAAGCTGATTGCAGATTCCTATCTATAGTGAGAAGGGAGAGGGGTGAAAGTTCTAAGACTGATTTATGACTATTCTTTTAAAGCAGGAGTCCCCAAGCTTGGCACCTTTAAGACTTGTGGACTTCAACTCCCAGAATTCCCCAGCCAGCATGGTTGAAGTCCACAAGTCTTAAAGTTGCCAGGCTTGGGGACCCCTGCTTTAAAGGGACAGTTTGTAAGAACTGGAAAGCACCTTGAAATGGACAATATGCTTGATTGGGAATCTATTCCGAAGCATCAAGTGTGGGGGGAAATGCACACGCAGCAAACTGCTGTGCTTTCCCCCCCCACACACAAACCTCATAATCTTTTGATACCCTTTGTCTTAATGAAGTAGCCAGAAGGTCATCCCCTTTTGACTTAATGCCTCACCTACCTAAACAGGTAATATGCTTAAGTTCCTTCTCCTATTTTTTCCTGCCTTTGTTAGTTCCTTTTCCTGTTTGCTCTTTACCTGGTCTTTGATCATGTAATGTGTTACTAGAAAATAGTTGCTTATATGAAGGAATTTTCCAATGAAGAAACTTTATGTCAGCATCTAATGGTTAAACTTACGAATGTAAAATGTCAGCATTTAATGGTAAAGCCTATGTATGTAACAAGTATATAAGAAGCAATAAACTCAGAGCTTGTCAAGCTGTGTCCTCAAAACATGCCTGCGTCTTTTTCTTAGCACCTTACAATCAAGTATTCTGTGTAGACCAGGGTTTCCCAACTCCAGGTCTGTGGACCAATACCGGGTCACGGCATGCCAGCAATTGGTCCACACAAACAAGCCAAGCCCCATCTGTGGGATGCTGGCAGCACACAAAACCACGCACCCTCCGGTCTGTGGAAAAACCTCTCTCCACAGAACTGGTCCCTGGTGCCCAAAAGGTTGGGAACCTCTGGTGTAGACTAAAGCTTTGCAAAGATTTCTACATCTGGGATAACTCAATTGGGTGGAGCACAGCAGTCTTAAGAATCCCCAGCATTCCAGGGACAACTGTATCACATCTGTCTGCGACCATGCAGTTGAAGCTCTGCCCAGTGTTTATATCAGGGCTGGCTGAGGAATTCTGGGAGTTGAAGTCCACAAGTCTTAAAGTTGCCAAGTTTGAAGGCCCCTGGTTTATGTCCTGGATGCATTAAAAATGGACTGCTTGCAGGTGGTCAGTTTCAGCACTGATTTTTTTTTGTGAAAGTTTTTATTGGCTTTTTTGCCCATTCAGTAATAATTTTTCAACAAACGCGCTGAGTTTACATTCGCTAATACATATTTAATTCCTAATCCTTTATTCTTTCCTCTAGCCAGCATGTGATCTATATGCCCTTGAGCTTCTGTTACATAGATGGGCCCTGTTTCCTTTCCATCTCCCATATTTCTCCTTCAAAAACCTTTCCCTTTCAAAGCACAATTTTGTAGTAAGGAGGGGGAAATCGGTTTTCTCTTGCAGTTAAGCCACCAGCTAGAAACCAGGAGGCAGTGAGTTTTAGTCCTGTTTTAGGCATGGAAGCCAGCTGGGTGACTTTGGAATCAGTTATTCTTTCTCATCCCAGCCCACCTCACAGGGTTATTGCTGTGAGGAAAGTAAAAGAATGAAGGAGTATAGGATAAGTTTGCTGTCTTGAGTTATTTATAAAAAAACTAATAAAAGTAGGATAAAAATTGAATAAATACAGATCAAGTTGATCAACTCTTGCTCATCTATTTATTATTCTGGAAGGTTGGAGTGAGCCTGGTGTGCTATGCTGTTCCTCTACTATCTCTTATCCTATTTTGTTCACAGCTCAACTTCTATATTTCACTCTTCCAGTGGAGGAGCAATTTGGAGTCTCGTGTTTCACACAGCACACTCCTAGCTGGGGGTTAAAACTTTATAAACCATTGCCCGGAAGAAAACAGGTGCCCCAATGCAAGCCAGTATTGGTGTATGACAGGGGTCTTCAAACTTGGCCCTTTTATGACTTGTGGACTTCAATTCCCAGAATTCCTCAGCCAGGCACGCTGGCTGAGGAATTCTGGGAGTTAAAGTCCACAAGTCATAAAAGGGTCAGGTTTGAAGTGTCCTGGTGTATGAGGATGAGGCCATCACGTGAGTCTGCAGAGCCCATATTTCACAAGGTCAGTATTTCCAAATCTAAACTACAGAGAGTAAAATATGGGCTGCATCAGGGAGGGGTCTGGGTTTTCTGGCAGTCACAGTCAGAGGAGGGTTGGTGGGTTTTGGCCAAGCCAAGCCCAAGTTGGCCAAGCCCAACTACAGCCCAGTTCTCTGAAGATGTCTCCTTTATGTACCCTGGAAGGTCTTCTGATGAAATAGGTTAAATGCTGGTTTCATAGTGGAAAGCATTAGATGGACTTCTGTTGCCTCAAGGGTGCTGCTGGCAGGACAACACAAAGACCAAGTTGTGAGAAGACAGCCATGAGAAATTGTTAGTGGGGCATATCTGCACTGCAGCAAATGGAACATGTGAATGAACTAACCCACTGTGGCGGTTTTCACACCACAGGCTGAACCACAAGCTACATATAGTCCTCCTTTAGTGATTGCCTCAGACAGTGACAGTTCACAATTACAAGGATGACTTTACGACAATTCTTGCATTTTAGACCTTGGCAGGTCTGTAAAAAGCAAAAGAAGATCATAAGCAGACACTCTTTCACCTCCTGAAAGTTTTGCTTAAAAACCAGATTGCTGCTCCCAATTGTAGTAGCTAAATGAGGAATGCTTGTAATACTTTTACTTTGCATCTACTCTACATATTTTCACATAAAATTATATTTTTATTTTAGGAATATTCTTAGCATGAACTTGCAATACTTTTATCACTGAAAAATATGATTTATCAACCACCATTTTGCTGAAAGGTCTGGAATGTGATTCAAATGAAGGCATTTATATTTGATGGTAACTTAATAATAAGTGTTCCTTGGCTGATTATATGAAAGACAAGCACTGGTTCAAATTAAAACTGTTTTTTAATGAATGTACAGAAAAACAGAAGATGAGTATCAAAATAATGTAATAAAAACACAAACAAAATGCTGACAAGGAAAAGCATTACATGGTCAATTACTACAAAAAATTGAGGGGAAAGTAGATAAAGATAAAACCTGTCAATGGCTTGCAACTGGATCATTAAAGAAACTGAAAGCTTGATTTTGGCTGCCCAATATTAAACTATTTGAATTAATGCAATTGAGGCCAGAATTGAAAAATTATCAAATGATTCAAAATATATATTGCGTAAAGAAGCAGAAGAAACATGGATCATATATGAGTTTATGCAAGATGACACAAAACTGATTGTAAACAACAATCTAACACAGTCGCCAAAATTATTTACTGGAACATCTGTAAAAATTATGTAGTCTTTGACTTACAACAGTTCATTTAGTGACTGTTCAAAGTTATGTCACTGAAAAAAGTGATTTATGACCATTTTTCACACTTATGACCACTGCAGCAACCCCATGGTCACATGATCAAAATTCAAACGCTTGGCAATGGCATGTATTTATGATGCAGTGTCCCGGGTCACGTAAATATTTTTTGTGACCTTCTAAGCAAAGTCAATGGGGAACCCAGATTCACTTAACAAACTTGTTACTTACTAAACAATTTCAGTGATTCGCTTAACACCTGTGGCAAGAAAATGGGACAAAATTAACTTAACTGTCTCTCTTAACAACAGAAATTTTGGACTCAATTGTGGTCACATGTTGAAGATTAGCTGTAATGAAAAATTAGTGGGTTTAAAAATTCATCAAGAATGAACAGATTAAAATATTGCGGGATTCCTAAATGAAAACTAATAAAAGTCTTGGCAATACAGGGGATAGTAGAACAGAAGACAGAGAATTGGAGAAAAATCACAAAGTATCAAGATCTCAAAATCAGAGCTGAAAGATTACAGCATACACCAGGGGCGATGGTCCCAGTGGTATGGATGCCATACCAAAGAATCTCGGAATCTGTACATTGACAAAAGTTCCATTTATCTGCATGTATACTATGCCGATACATTATAGTACAACATCGTAGGTTCTTGGGGAAAAAACTCAGTGCCTATTAAGGCCAACACCAGCTAAAAGAACTGGTAGCTGTGACTTCATAGTATGTGTAGTAATAATAATAATAACCATCCTAATACGTCTAGCTCAGTGGTTCTCAACATTTGTGTGACGGCGACCCCCGTCACACAAACGTGCGCATGCACGGCGGCACCCCCATGCGCGGCGGCACCCCATGCGCGGCGGCACCCCATGCGCGGCGGCGCCCCATGCGCAGCGGCGCCCCCTGAGAGGGAAAAATGGCAGATCGCCTTCTTTGGCGACCCCCGAGAAATGGTCGATCGACCCCAAATGGGGTCGCGACCCATAGGTCGAGAACCGCTGGTCTAGCTTTATTTTAAAAAAATGTATTTCACATAAACTAATGAATAAACACTTTTTTTTCTTAGTTCTCCAAGAGTGAAAGAGATAACTAATTGCCTGAGTTGAAGAAGATTAGTGAGGTATCCATGGTACACTGAAGGGACAAATTGGGCACATTCTAGGGGTATCTAAGATCTAAAATATGATTTGACTTTCTTAGGATGTACAAATCTAACTTTACAATTTCTACTTGCAACTGTTTTGGTTTTTATATATATTTGCCTATGATTTCCTCTTCAGGATCCTAACTAGCAAGTAGTGTATAGTATTTTCTCTTCAAAGTTGTTTTCAGCTCTCAAAAATGTGAGTTCTTCTATGCCCCACTTTAAACATTGGGTTCGAATAATAATTCAGATATGTAAATAAACAACAACAAGCAAATAGAAAAAAAATCACAAAAAGCAAAGTCAAATCATTACTGCGCCATCCCTGAAATTACTAGGATCTGAGCTTATTGTTATCAAAAACAGCAGTAAAAAACAGTAAAAATGTTTATTACAAAGTATTCGTACATTTTATGGAAGAAATAGCCAACATCTTACCTATATTAGCACATGTGTTAGTTTAAGACATTTACAGCAAATACATTATTAGATTTACAAACAGGCTTACAAACTTGGTTAAAAAAGGAGGAAAAATTAAACATTCATCACTGGTGTCAACTGAAGCAAGGAGTTTGGGGTAAGAGACTTCCTGCTGTGCAAAATCTTCTCTATCTCCTCTAAGTTCTTGAGGAAGCTTCTTCTTTTCTTCAGTCCATACAAGATGACAGAATTAGCAGATACCATACTTTGTGTTCTGAAAGAATGGTATTTTTGAAACAAAAGATTCACAAGGAGGCTGATCCATAGCTCATTATTCATAACAAATGTTCTTTAAAAAATATCAGACAACGCCAAAGCTTTTAGAAAAAATATTGGCTTGTATGAAGGTGGTTCATCCAAAAATCCTTTTAAAAGCCTTTCATTTTTAAGGTTTCTTTATATAGTCTTATAGTCATTTAGCTTCCAGAAATGTTCACATATAGAATGTTTTCCATATTTACATGCTGTTCTATAAAGTTACCCAAATCCTTGGAAAACATACTGTACATACTTTTCCAAGTATCGGGGAACATAACCCAGTAGGCCAGGGGTTCTCAACCTTGGCAACTTTAATCCTGAGGAATTCTGGGAGTTGAAGTCCACAAGTCTTAAAGCTGCCAAGGTTGAGGAACCCTGCAGTAGGCTGTTGCACTGTAACCAGTTCATATCCATCAGGCTGTTGCACTGTAACCAGTTCATATCCATCCTGCCTGATCTGGTTAGTTTTCTGGGCCTGAAATACCAATTGCAGCCAAAATACTTGTAAATTGTCTCTCTCAATGCTTGTTTCCCAGGTTGTAGAAACATACTCCCATCACCTACAACTAGCCTAATCCAGGCTTCTGATGAGAGCTACAGTATATATTGACTGATTATTTTCATTTATATGCTGCTCAGTTAAGATAGCCAAACATACCAAAATCCAGTAACAACAATTAACCTTCCTATTTGTTAATGCAATGAGGGGGGAAAATCAGGAAAACAAGAGTCACATATTGCCAGGGGAGGACGATATGCATACATCCCACATCTGTTTTTTCCAAAAAAAGAACAGCTGGACTTCCTTGGTGTTTTCTTTGAAAAAAACACTTCTCACCCAAGAGTCTTCAGTTCCAAACCGAAACGTTTTCAAAGAAAACATCCAGAAAGTCCAGTTGCTTTTTGGGGAAAACAGATAGGGGACAACCAAGCCCTGCATGACTGAAAATCTCCATAGACTTTCCTGAATGGCAAAAAGGATGGTGGTGACCTAATTTTGAGGAGAGTGCTGTTTCAAAGGAGGGACAATAACAGAAAAGGCAATGCATGTCTTGTGATCCCTGACAAAGACAATTCCTCAGGATGGTATTATTGGACAAGTAGAAACACAAGCCTACTCAGGTGTCAGGGCAGTAGGACTTTAAAGGTGACAACCAACACCTTGATTTGCAACTGAAAGCCAACTGGCAATCAAAGCAGCTCTCGCCATAGTGATGTTATCTGAGCAGATCAGTAGGCCCTGCTCTAGTTAATGGACTAAGTTCATGAGTAGGTCGAGATGAAAAAAATCAAATTCAACAATTCAATTAACATTTTTTTTCCAGTATGCCTAACTTTGAAGACCAGACTAAGTATAATTGATGGAGGTTTACAATAGAAATAGCACTCCCATGTTTGTCCTTACCTGGGAGAATCTATCCCACTATCTCCTGTTATACTCTGGTTTTCTGTGCCTTGTAAGTGGTTTTGGTCATGCTGGATTCCCGGATCTAGAGGAGCATCATCTGTGTTATCAAATGATTGTCGTATTCCCACAAGGTTTGTCTTAATTTCCCAGTCTTTGGATGACAACACCAAGGAAGCGGTTTCCACAGCCACTTGGTTTGCTGACTTCTCCCAAGTTCTGTTGTCTGCTTCTTGCACCTCGCTGAATTCAAGGACGTGCCTTTCGGTATTATCAGTTCTCTGACCTTGATCATAAATACCCTCATTCTCTTCACTGTTTTTAGAAGACACCTGATGGCACATACAAGTTTCCCCTTCAAAGTTCATTTTATCATATTCCTTTAAGCTATCCTTTGATTTATTCTGACTAAGAAAACCACTTTCTTCCTGTTGGTAGGTATCAACAGTATCTGCATCATTTGGGTAGCTTCGAAAGGGAAGATCAGCTGTTTCTTTTTCCAATACTTTTGGACTCGTGTCTTCTGTTACGTTACTCCATTTTTCTGACTCCGCTCTATATCGGAGTTGATAAGATTTCAATTTGGATGATTCAATTTCTTCTTGGACAAGGTCATTATACAGAGGATTATAAGCATCATCATTATCCACTTTTTGATACTGAACTGGATCATCAAAAATGAATCCCTCGTACTGCGGATTCACAGACTCAAGCCATGTGCTTGTGCTCTTGCACTGTATCTCACTCTTAAAATCCTTTTGTCTGTGTGCAGCAACGCCTTCAGCCTGTTTAAATTGGCAGATAATATCTGCATCAGTGGGAAGATAGCAATCTGAATGCTGACTTGGTAAATTGCACCTATGTGCTTTATCACAGTGCGTTTGAATAGATTTGTCTGGATGCTTTTTCTCTTCTTCATTTCTGAATGAAGCATAAATGTTAGGAGCCTCTTGCATCTCCACTGTATTTTGGGAGTCTGTCCCTCTTTGCAGGTTACACTTACAAGTGGCTCTCTCTGCCAAGGATCTGTGTGTGCCATTTGTTCGTAAAGCTTGGCACTGCTGGCGACCTGAGTGTTTCTTTTTCTCATCTTCAGCATTACATTTCCCAGAGAGAGAGACTTTAGCTTTACAGTCCATGGTTCTTGAGGAATCTAAAGACTGGGACCATGAACAATGCCTCTCTGATCTAACAGCCTTGGAGTTTATATCACATTTTTTCTGACTTTTATAAACTTTTGATGACTTATTCCTTCTATTTGGAATATCTTGAAATGGATTATTGATTTCCTTTTTATATAAAAAGTGAGGCTCCACATCTAATGCATCATCAGCCAGCTCTCTATTGCAAACCATCATTTCACTTGTAAGAGGACATAATGGATGTTCAACAGAGCTTGCCCAATTTTCATCAGCCAGTACCAATTCACTAGTTTTATATTTCCCTCGTTTTTCTTTAATGTGCTGCCCCTTTCGGTGACACTTTGCTGCTTTATTCTGTTTTTTCCAACTGTGTACTTTTGAAATATATTTGTGCTTCGTGGTTAGTACTTCGGTAGAGGTTCCTTTGCTGATATACTTCTTCTGTTCTTCGATTTTCTGCATTAGTGCTACATGTTTAGTCAAGTTGTCAATAGTCAATATGGGATTGATGCGCTTGATGATTTCATGTTCAACATCCCGTGGAATATTCTCCAAATTTTCTTCGTCTCTGACTGGCCATTTCTCAGGAGGAAACTGAGCAGAAAATGTAGAGTGGGCTTTCTTAGCTTTTTCTTTCTTGGAAGTGTTGCGCCAAAAGAGGCTAAGACTAAACTTTTTAGCCTTATCTTTTCCCTTCGCAGAAAGTACTGGGTGGGTGATTCCATCAGCAAGTGACTCTGTACTTGGTTTTGGAACTGAAGATTCACAGGAATCTTTTTGACTTTTCCCGTTTGGCTCCTGGCTAACTAATTCCTGACATTTTGTTGGTTTCACTTCATTGTGCCCAAGAAAACAGTAACAGGATCTACAGTGCGATACAACAGGCAAAGGATCTGGTGGCAGCTCTGCAGCATCTTCCATGCCCAACAGGTATGTGAAAGAAGGCTCAGGAAGGCATGTGTCTTCCAGCAAGGCCCTCTTGCTATTACCAGAGATAAAATAGGTGTTTGGGGTTACTATGAAGTATCCTTCCCCAGTATGGTATATCTTTCGCTCTTTAATTAGCATCCCAAGAGTACTGTAGAGAATATCATGGGTGGGAGTTGCAATACCTAGAATAAGGATAAAAATCTTTATTAGTATTCATTCAACATTTAAAATATCTTCGATTCCAGCCATATATTTTAGATTCCAGCCATATTCGCATTCACAGTTATGAAAAAGGCCCTCTATGCTAATATAATCCTATGTCTTTTCCCCCAGAATTAAATGTCATTGGTTTCAATGAGGACTTCTTTATTCGTAAATACACATACAGTGTCTTTAGAAAATGAAAAACAAATCTGAAACCCTTACTGCAGGGCTTTTCAACCTTTTCACCCATTGTACCATTTTTAGGATATGGCAAGATCCGAGTGCTACCAGTCGCCTAGCAAGGTGTCAAAAACTTGATAACCCCCCCCAAAAGGAAAAAAGTGGTAAGTACAGGTAGTCCTCGACTTACAACAGTTCGCTTAGTGACTGTTCAAAGTTACAATGGCACTGAAAAAAGTGCCCCCCAAGCCACAGCCGAGCAAGGGCATCTGTTTGCCCACCTGGCAGCACTCCTGTCTGAGGTTTTCATTGTTGTGAGCATTTCTGTTGAGGATTGGCAGCGGGGGTGGGGTGGGGGTGTTTGGTTTTTATTCCCCCATCTGCTGGGTGGTTGCAGCAGGTTTTGGTCACTTCACATCACACTGGGATACTGTGACCGTCATAAATATGAATCAGTTGCCAAGCATCTGAATGTAAATCACAAGACCCTGGATATGCTGCAACATTCCAGCTGATCGGTGCTTCTTCTGAGCCCACCTGGAGCCTGGCACTGATCCTGGCGCTTCCACTGAGCCCTGACAGCCCTGCAGCTCCAGCCATTTCTCGCTCAGGCTTGTGCGGTGCTGCCACCAGTTCAGCTCATTCCCCTCCCCTGCTACCACTTTTCTAGGATGGTCGCGTACCACCTGCCAGGTGCTAATGTACCACAGGTGGTACCCGTACCACTGGTTGAAAAGCCCTGCCTTACTGCACACAGATAAGATTGCTAATCAAAAAGACCAAATAAGAGTTTTAAATTGATGTCATTCCCCCATTGTATGATGGGCTGTAATTCCCACTGGCCATGCTGTCTACTAAGAAAAATAATTGCATCATAAAGAAAATCAAATAACAGAAGGCTATGAACAAATTAATATCAGAAAAAGGTTGCTATTGCAAAAATGCGGTAAAGCCTACACCATAAGCTGTACTTCGGATCTGAATTCAAAAAGGTGCTTTAAAATGCAAGTTAAAGGTGCATTCACAAAGCTTCAAACTTCCCATAAACAGACGATATTCATAAATTGCTAGCAATAATGAAATCTGGACCCTTAGTCTACCTTTAGGCTGATGGAGGTAACCCTCTCAGGAAGCTGATTGGGGATACGTTAAGTAACAAATTATATTTTCTGGAGGGAAAACAGACACATTCTTCAACTGGAGCATAAAAATGTCTTAAGCTGGCTGGAATGTAATTTCATTTATTGCAATTCAACTGTACTAATAGAGCTGATATGTAATTTATATACTTAAGTTACATTTTGCATCTAACTGGAAAAAATATAAGGCTTTCTTTTTTTACACAGCACAACTTTTGCTATAAAAATGCCTAAATACAGGTAAAACTATCAGGACAGTCCCACAAGCAATAAAAATACTCACTGCTTGTTGAAGACACTGAGTTTGACTATAGAGATGAAAAAGAAAAGGAAAAGAGATAAATAAAATGGAGTATTTTGACCGGGATTTAAAACAAAAGCACTTCATATTAAAATGTTGCAGATCCCTCTTGGATTATACACTTTCAAGCTTTTATATGGAAACAACTGTATATTCAGGAGTCCAATGTGGCATAGATTTTATCTTTAAATGCCAGTAGTAGGATGCTTTCTCCCAGTTAGACAAGAGAGGGCAGCAAATACATAATAAACATTGCAAATGACCTACTGTAGGTAGACCACAGCTTCTTCCAATGCAAACTTGTGATTAGTAGACCCATTCACTGCATGTTCATTGACCCTGAACTTCTTTTAAAAACATCAAGCAGAAGAACTATAATACTTCACTACACAAGTTACTTAAACTGCTTTTGGGGTTAGGGAACAAACTGCTTGGTCAATCCTAGGGTTATTATACTGGACTGCAGAAATCTGGGTGGCCATGAAAGCAAACAAAGTTGCTCTCTCTTGTTAGAACTAAGAGGTTTTCTTTTCAAAATATATTGTATGTATTCCCTGAGCTATCTGCTAGCCCCGGACCTAATAATTCAGTGACCTCTGTGTTAGGTAATATGTTTTCTTGACTTGAATAGCTGTCCCTCTCACATGCATGATTCTAAGTGACTCACCACAGTTAAAACCAACAAAAAGTAGAAATAAAGGCACAACTGCATTAGAACCACTATTAAAAGCTCAAAATACAAAATGATCACAGTCGGCAGGTGAACACCTAGCATACCTCCTATTCAGTACGGATAGTCCTCGACATACAACGATTCCTTCAGTGGCAGTTACAACAGCACTGGGGAAAAAATGATTTATGACAGTTTTTCACAAGACCATTGTGGTATCCCCAGGGTCATGTGACCAAAACTTAGCTGCTTGGCAACTGGCATATATTTATGATGGTTGCAGAGTCCCGGGGGTCACGTGATCACCTTTTGTGACCTGAGAAGCAAAGTCAAGGCCAGGGGTAGGCCACCTTGGCTCTTTTATGACCCGTGGACTTCAACTCCCAGAATTCCTGAGCCAGCCATGCTGAGGGGAAAGGGAGAGGTTTCCAAGCTGAGCCATGCTGGCTCAGGAATTCTGGGAGTTGAAGTCCACGAGTCATAAAAGAGCCAAGGTTGCCTATCCCTGGTCAAGGGGGAAGCCAGGTTCACTTAATAACCCTGTTATTACTAACTTAACAACTGCAGTGATTCACTTAACTACTGTGGCAAGAAAGGTTGTAAAATGGGGCAAAACAACTGTCTTCTTATCAACAGAAATTTTCATCTCAGTTAGGATTGGTAGTCAAGGATTATCTGTACAATTGCTTGCAAGGCTCACCATTGCTAACAGTTTTTCCTAAAGTCGGGCCAATCTGAATTTCAAGAGAATGATGTTCCAAAGAAAAAGTGCCAGGATGGAAACGAGCCCATCAGATGACACACCTTAATAGATGGAACCTGTAACATGCGTCTCCTGCTGGATCTGATGGGACAGGCAGATGTTAAACAGGGCACGACGGTCCCTCAAATCTCAGTCTCATGTCACATATGGCTTTATATGTCATTACTAGCACCTTTTAGCAGCATTTGGGAGCACTTTGCAGCCAGGGGAGCAATTTTCTGGAGTCACTGCTAGGTAGCTAGCTGAGAGAGGGCCAAATAACAGGGAGAGGAGAAAGATGCTGACATGTCTTTCACTGGAAACGAGCTATTCTTCCCATCACAATGTGTGGGAAGAGGCTGCACATCTCCGTGTGCTCACTGGGTACAGAAGCACTATGTGAATCTTGGGAAGAGCTGGTGTCACTTTGAGGTTTAAGCTGCAAAAATGGCAGTGATACCAAGGAAGCTTCCAACGTGTATTTCCAGGTTTATATGACCACTCTTAGGGTGACACCAAGCAAGTTAGAAGACTTTTGTTTTACATTTTGATATGCAAAGGCTATATTAAAATGGCTTCCCCGTTCCCAGACAGTATCCAGCATTTCACCCTGCTCTCTGCAGCCTGAAGTGAAAGTTTAGATTCAATATCCACAACCCTTGATTTAGCCGATTACCTGGGTAGTGTTTTCCCAACTGATGTAATAAGGCTTCCTGTGTAACTGTAATATGAGCTGCATTCATATCAGATATAGCACAACACAAGACTTCTGCCAAGGGAACAAACTGAGACTGGGAAATTGGATTCATATGCACTGGAGAGACATCACCTACAATGGAAAAAAAGGGGGGGAGAGAGACAAGCAAAAAAAATTAATTTCTGTACTTTTGAATATTTTGCCCTCCCCTCTCCCCCCCTTGCCATTTCAAAAGCCAAGCTTTAAAGTTGGTATGAAAAAAATGATAGAAAATAGCTATGGGAATCAGGATTGCGCTGAATAATAAAACTAATGATCAATCAAATATTAATAAAACCTGCTGCCAGTTCTGCAGAAAAAGACTGCAGCTGAGCACAACAGGAAGCAACATTTTAGAACGAGATTATGATGACGTGTCAAAATTAAACATTTGAGGAGGGATAATTGTTAACATTTTTTGTGAATTTGTTAAGTGTAAGAATTGGAGTAGAAAGCCTCTTGAGTTGTCCTTGGTGCTCTCTCAGCTTGATTTTTTTCCTTGCAGATGTTTTATTACCCAAACTAGGTGACATTAGCAGTGCTGGTAGGGGGTGGGGTTTGCTCTCACTTTATATTCTAACCCTAACGATCAGACCAACAATCAAGAAGTAAACAATACCCAAACAAGGAATTGCCAAAGAAGGTAAACAGCAAACAGCCCAACTAAAGAAGACTACACCCCCCCAACACTGACAGGGCAAGCCAGTAGAACATAAATAGAGAGCAAACCCCACTCCTTACTAGTATTGATGAAGTTATCTAGTTTGGGTAATGAAACATCTGCAAGAAAACAACGAAGCTTAGAGAGCACCAAGGACCCTTCATTTCAATCCTGAGCTATAAATATTTTCCTCTGGTGGTAGAAAGCCTCTTGGGGGCGAGCTACTTCCAGATTACAATTTATATAATTCTCAGAATGTGAAAAATGACCCCAAACTGACATTTCATAATTCTAAAAATGCCCATTTTTCAGTTGTACGATTTTTTTTTTAATGAGGGATTTCCATGAAGTTTGAAGAGCAGGAATCGATGTGGCTTGAAATTCAGAGACATGTCACATTCACTTTCATCCTTAATTTTGCAATCGGAAACAAGTTCCAATATTTGGGGGGCTGTCACAGAGAGGAGGGATCAACCTATTTTCCAAAGCACCTGAAGGCCAGACAAGGAATAATGGATGGAAACTGATCAAGCAGAAATTCAACCTGGAAATAAGGAGAAATTTCCTGATAGTGAAGAAACTTCTTGATAGTGAAGAAAATTTCTTTTAAAAGAAGTTTTAAAAGCAGTTGCGTATGTAGAAGGTTGGATTAAATAACATCTGCGGTTATCGGTAACTGTACAACTCTAAATCTTTTAACTTTCATTAAAGAAATAATGTAGGCAAATGAACTTATTCAAATCCTTAGCACAGAAGTGCATAGTATTTCAGATCTCTATTTATTCTGTTCATATTTTAAAAACACCCACCTGACAGAGCCTTTCCTGAAATTATATGAAGAATCCAACCTATGTGCTGGCTTAGAGATTGTTATAAGACCCTTTTCTAAGATATGTAAGCAACATGATACAATTTGGAGTTAGAAACTACAGCAATGCTAATCTTCTAATCTTCTCTCACAATTTACAGCTAAAGGCTTAAAAAAAAATCTCTGAGATCACTTTTCTTAAGTCAACAAAAAACAATAGTCCCTTTTGAAGAAGCTGTTAAACAGTTCTTGACCTCTGTTTTACCAATTGCTTCGCTTATGTTTAACAGAATGCCTTCAGAGAGCTTCCAGAGAATAATTTCCTCAGTGACGTTGCTAGGTTACTCCTACCAGGGATATAAATCAGGGTCCACTTGCTTTGTATGAAATAGAAGCACGTACCCACGACTACACACACATACACAAACACACACACATGGAACCGATTATTGTAAACAAAACTGGTTTCACAATTACCCGGAAAGGACACCTTAACTGTTTTTATTCTCTCTGGATGATTTATTTTCTCTGTGCTGAATTGTAAACGTTCCTTACGTAGGAAATAACAGAACAACAGAGTTGGAAGGGACCTTGAAGGTCTTCTAGTCCAGCCCCCTGCTCAAGCAGGAGACTCTATACCATTTCAAACAAGTGGCTGTCCGATCTCTTCTTAAAAGCCTCGAGTGATGGAGCACCTATAAATTCTGTAGGCAAGCTATTCCCCTGATTAATTGTTCCCGCTATTAGGAAATTTCGTCTTCGTTCTAGGTTGCTTCTCTCCTTGATTAATTTCCATCCTTTATTTCTTGTCTTGTCTTCTGGTGCTTTGGAAAATAAGTTGACCTCCTCTTTGTGGTAGCCCCTTAAATATTAGAACACTGCTATCATGTCACCCCTAGTCCTTTTCACTGGTCTAGAATCTAGACAAACCCAATTCCTGAAACTGTTTTTCAAGTTTTAGCCTCCAGTCCCCTAATCATCTTTGTTGATTTCCTCTGCACCCTTTCCACAGTCTTTTTATAATATGATGACCAAAGCTGGATGCAGTAGTGCAGGGGTGTCAAACTCAATTTCATTGAGGGCCGCATCAGCATTGCGGTTGCCCTCGGGGGGCCAGATGGGTGAGGCCAGGGTGGGTGCAGCCTACTGGGTGAGCATGGATGGAGTAGGTGTGACCTACTGGATGAGTGTGACCAGCTCTACATCGTTCGCGTCAAGGGTGCCTGTGGGGGCCTGGCCAGGAGTGGGACAGATCTGAGGGTCTCTGGAAGAAGGGGGTGGGATCAGGGCAAGTGCCAAGGCATGGCCTCACTGTTCCTCTCAGGCCATGCGGGGGGGGGGGGCTTATAGAGCTAGACTGAATGCATTTCAGCATAGATGGCCACCACAGAATTGTACATTGGCTCCCGCCTGGCCTGGACCAGGGCCAAGGCAGAGGGGGCTGTTCCCTTACTGTTTCCAGGATGGCTTCATGGGCCACATGAAACCACTTTGCGGGCCGCATCCGGCCCCCGGGCCTTGTCTTTGACATGTCTGCAGTAGTGTATTCTGGATGCAATACTGTATTCTAAGTGTGATCTTACTAAGGCTTCATAAAGTGGTACTAATATTTCACATGATTCTGATTTTATCCCTCTGCTAATGCAACCTAGGATTGTATTGGTTTTTTTGGCTGCTGCCACACACTGCTGGCTCTCAAATTTAAGCTCATACCGGTATTTAAATAAAATGGTTACCCAATAAAACACAGATCAACCCTATCATATGTAAATGTATAGTTTCAAAACATACTTTATTAATACATCTTACCATCTTTATATTTTAATACATTCATAAAGTTTAACTGATTTTTTTTATATAAAATGTTTAAGGATTCAGTCATTTGGTACATTGTTCTTGCACAAGATTTGGATTACAAAGACTAGAAGAAGAAAAAACAAACCTAAGTAAATAGTTTAGGAAGGAAAGTATGTAAAATAACAGCGGCAGCAATTCTATCAAGATGGAGAAACTACAAACATATTGAAAGATAATAGTGTTCTTTGGACCCAGATTCACAGGTTTGTGCTAATGAAAGAGTACAGTAGTGGAATCCCAGCAAGCAAACTGATTTTTAATTTAGAATTGATATATCTGAATGGACATGAATGGTAGATATTTTCCAATTTTCTTCACAATCTTCACCCTGCACTAGAAGTTGGCTCTCTCTGCTGATGTGAAGTCAGCAACTTTATTAGTCAGAGAAACCAAGTCTTAATATTATGATTACAGTCCAATATCTGTAGAAAGGAAAAGCAATTAAGAAGACAACACTAGTTGTGCTCTAGTTCAGGGGTCCCCAACCCCGGGTCTGTGGACAAGTACCAGGCCGTGGCATACCAGCAACCGGGCTATGGAAACAAGCAAAGCCCCATCCACGAGATGCAGGCAGCACACAAAACCACACATTCTCCAGTCTACGGAAAAACCTTTCTCCACAGAACTGGTCCCTGGTGCCCAAAAGGTTGAGGACCTCTGCTCTAGTCACTGCAGAAAATGGGCTTGAATCATTTCATGATTAGTATTTATCTGATGTTATTATGGGGTATAGTGGAAACTGACTTAAAAGGCCTTAACCCTAACAGAGGCAGAACAATTTCATCTGCCTCAAAGCCTTCTCTTTGCCCAGCCTATCACTGGACAGAAGTCATATCAGGTCCTATAAACCACAATTCCAAAATCTTTTTCTCAGCAGACAAATAACAATATGGATCAAGGGGGAGGAAATAGATTAATCCAGGCGTGTCAAACTGGTGGGCCGGATGTGTCATGCATAGGCCACACCCGTCCTGACTCTGCAAAGGCAAAAACCGTCACGATACATCACATGACGCGATCGAGTTTGGCACCCGTTGATTAACCAGAACATTTCAGAATGCATCATGGAAATAGAGAGCTTAGTGAACACCACCCTTATTTCATGGATTAGTGTCTACTTTGCAAATATTAGTTTTCTTCAAGAACTGAAGAAAACTAAGATTTGAAAAGTAGACACGAATCCATGAACAACTGACACCACATAAGCAAATTCCACATGATTTCTTTTCTGAGGAATAAAAAGGGTCACCTTCAAAAAATTTCCAATACTCCTAAAAAAAAATCAGCCAGCTTTCCTTCTGTACAAATTTCAATTAGTGTCTCTTCCCCACTTCAACAGTCCTACCGTATATGCTTGAAAAATCTAGCATCAAAAAATCATATAGGAAGAAGTGGTGCTAAATATATACTGCTTATCATCATCTTAGCAGGAAATGAAACACAACTAACTTATCTTTAAAGCTTACCAAGAATATTTTTTTGGGCCTTGAGAAAGAGGAAACCTGTCATTCATGATGGAAACCAAATCCAAGTCCTGCTGATTGTTAAAATATGGGGGAGGGGGTGTGTGGAATTGGGGGGGGGGAGAAGAGGGATTTATTTACTGAAGCAGTCCTAGGCAAGTTGCCAAAAATTAATGTATAATTGATGCACAAATGGTTTTACCCATTTATACAAGGCAGCTAATTGCATACACAAAACCAGATAACACACTTTGGGGGCATAGAGTGAAACTCTGTGGGAAAGTCATTTTCATTACAGGAGTCC